ACTCGGGTTGCGACCAACTCGGGTTGCGACCAGAGTCACGGAACGGATTAAGTTCGTAACCCGAGGTACCACTGTACTTGCATCTCATGAAAGACCTGCAGTGCTACAAGACTTTGTCGTCTTTGAATACATCTTCATGATTGACCCTGAGTAGGCCAGAAGAGGACTTTGACACCTCCCCTTTCACTTCAGTTGCAAAAGTAAAAAAAATGTGCCTTAAATGTCTCTTTTGCAAAAACCCATATGTTCAGTCAGAATATGTGTATTCTTCATTCAGAAGGTTGTGGATTTGGTCTCTGGCATTTTTGTTTCAGCAAGATTGATATAATTGGGCAGTAAAATTCCTATTTTCAGAACAGGCAAGATGGGTGCTATTTTTTTAAAATCAGCTAAGCTAGAAAAAACAGGTGAAGTCCTTGGGCTGTTATGGTATTATCTTACAAATACTGGATTTATACATTTCAGTTCTATAACCCTGAGTTAATTTAAGCCTTCTGAGGTCAGTTTCTGAATTCCCTCTCTTGATTTCTTCTGTGTGGACACAAGATATATGCAGAACCTGTTTAATGGCATCACTCTTCGTAACCAGTACTTTCTTATTTTTGAAGATGAATAAAAACATTTTAACTTAGCCAGGCCTTTGAAAATTGGGTTTTTGCTTTCAGATATTACTGAAGCCCCACTACTGGCCTCTAGTAGTTGGGTTATGTTAGATTCTATAGTTGATGTTTTTTTACCTTTTAAGAAAACATACTGGTTAATATAAGTATTTGAACACTACTTTGTTAATAAAGGTGTGGAGGACGTGTTAAATTAACAAATGTAGATTTTTGGAGTGCTTAAGATAATTTGCATCCCTTCTCCGTGATCTTGATTGTGATCCTCTCTGTAATTTAAATAAGATATATGTGTGTTTAAAAATGGTAATGGAGGGAGGGCACGTAACAGCCCACTGGTTTGGTTTGCAGTCGCAGCCCATCTCAAGCATGATAGATGGAGAGAATGCATATCCAGGTGGTAGCTGAGTTCCTCAGCTATTAGATAGAAAATATATGATGCCTAGGTGAGGCTGGGTAGCCCAATTTTCATTCCATACAGTAAGTTAAAGGATGGTGAATGAGCCTGTTTCTTGATGCATTTGAGATCAACTTAGTTGCTTACCATACTATTTGATCCTAGAATGGCG